CCCCCCCCCCCCCCCCCCCCGCTCAAAAACTGTAGGTACAAGCTGCCCTCAGACATGTCTCCGTACCCCCGTCAACAAAATTCATGGATGAGATGAGCACCCCGCCATGGCAAGTTAACTAGGGGAAACACTGAAGTTAATGGCAAAACCCAACAGTCATGTTCTTGTTTTAGTATTGTACACCACTTTATCATGTAGCTGTTTTTTGTTTCGTTTTTATTTCATTTCTTCCATTTAGGGCTGAGCCATATCATATCATTCACGATAATACTGGTAAAAAAAAAGCTTGCCCAGGCAACAACATGATATCATGATATGCTAATTTCATGACGTAATACGTCAGGGTGCCCCGCCCCTTTAACAGAACCATGCGCGCCGAACAACCAAACCAAACTGCGAACCCCCCCCACACACACACACACACACACACACCTGTCTGTACTGGTGCGACGCTACTTAGTTGCGCGCAGTACTAGCTAGCTAAAAAGCTTAAAACAAACAACGCGCGGCTCAGCTGTCTCTCCATCCAGCTCTAAACTGCAGGTACACACAACTCAACTGGCGGGTCTCCCTCACTCTAAACTGTCGGTACAAACACGCGCAGGTCTGTCTCTTAAGTTCCACAGTCCATGGATCAAGAACAGAGTCAGGTGATCAGAGACAGAGCATCAGAGAAATAAATGAATCATTCCTGCAGGAACAGAGGAAGCTGAGGTCGTTTTCACACCAGATAGTCCGATAGACTCTGTTCGGGACCAATATTCATGACCTTTTGTTTATATTTGAGCTGGTACGTTTGCATTCACACTGCACTGTGCAGTCGAGTCAACTTGTTGAACCAACCTATTCCCCCGCTCGCCTGAGGGGGTGCTGCACCAAGAACTACTGAAAGAAACGATTTAAAAACCTCTGAAGACACTTCTTCTTCTTCTTCTGGAAATAAAAATAAAAACGAAGTGGCATCAAGTTTTAGCAGTTTTAGGAGTTATATTTTGTCATTTTTCAAAAATGGACTTAGCATGAGCAGAAGACCATGGATAATATTGTTTTTCCACACAAGGTAGCTGACGGCTCCATATAAGGTCAGAGAAATGGGTGTTTGTTTGTCCTGCGGAGCGGGGCCCGGTCTGTTTATATTCACACTGCACTCGAACCGCGCTGGAGTTCTCTTCTACCGGACCAAGACCTAGGTTTTAGCCCGGGCCAGAGTTCGCCTTTTTGTTCCGTGACAGAGTTTGATGGCGCGTTCACACCTCCCTAAACAAACCAGACTTTCTAGGAAAACGAGCTAGTTCGATTAAAGCGGATTAAACAGGACTGGTGTGAATGCACCCTGAAACACTAACAAGCTTCAGGGTCATCTGATCACCTTGTTACAAGTTCAGGAAGTTATATCTCATTTAAAGGTAACATATATTTTGTTGTATGTTAAATTTATGCTCAATAGATTTTAAGCTTAATTTTATTTAGTTATTTTGGGAAACTTCACCTGCACTTTAGTATTTTGTGGTGGATTTTGTTGATCTATATTTTGTGCAGAATTTTTCAATCTAAATATCAGAAGGATCATTTTTATACATTTAGACTGAATACTTTACTAAATAAAGTAATTTCAGTCAAATTAACCCTTGTTGTTCTTTTAGTTTTTATATAATACCGCAAAGCAACATGTTAATTTTGTCAAATGAATAACTGATTTCTGTTTTTTGGGGGGTTATATCACAAAATTTATCGTTATCGTCAGAATGCTCTGAAATATCATGATATTATATCTGAGCCATATCGCCCACCCCACTTCCATTTACTGTTTCATTTTAGATGCTTTTTATATGATTGTTTATTGTTTGTACATCATCTGCTCTTTGTTGAAAACAGGTCTCTCTTGTAAATGAGTCCTCGTGGCTCAATGAGACTAACCTGTATAAATAAAGGTTGAATGAATGAATGGTCGTGGCAGAGCTTAAATTGGCACATAATTGACAACTTGTTCACAATTTTGAGCCAAAACTAAATGCATGTGTATATCAGTGAAAAACTATTCCTCAAAAATTTGGATAAAGTAAAAAAAAAAAAAAACCTTTTTGAATACCTTATTTTTCCCTTAACACAGTTTGTTTGTTATTAGTTGGCTGCCATGATGTTCTCTTGAATGTTTCTACAAGTCAAGGTGACAAACGTCTTTTGGAAATAACGTTACAATGCACTGCCGTATATTTTATATTGCCTTTCAATTTTTTCCATTCATTCAAACTTTTTATACAGATTCGTCTCATTGAAGCACGGTGGCGCAACTGGTAGAGCTGCTGCCTCTCAGCGAGCAGGTCCTTGGTTCAAACCCCGGTCCAGGGGCCTTTCTGGGTGGAGTTTGCATGTTCTCTCCGTGCATGCGTGGGTTTTCTCCGGGTACTCCGGTTTCCTCCCACAGTCCAAAAACATGCATGTTAGGCTGATTGGTAACTCTAAATTGTCCCTAGGTGTGAGTGAGAGAGTGAATGTTTGTTTGTCTCATTTGTCTCTATGTGGCCCTGAGATGGACATGCGACCCGTCCAGGGTGTACCCCGCCCCTCGCACAGTGATTTCTGGACATGGGCACCAGCGACCCCCGTGACCCAAAATGGAATAAGCGGGTAAAGAAAATGGATGGATGGATGGATAGTCTCATTGAGCCTCGGAGACTCATTTACAAGAGAGACCTGTTTTAAACAAAGAACACAGATGACAACAGCAGACAATCGTATAAAAAGCATATAAATTGATAAATAAATGGAAGAAAATGATATAAAAGAAAAACAAAACAATAACAGCTACATTATAAAGCGATATAAAATACTAAATACAGGAACAAGTCTGGGCAGCATGGTGGCACAACTGGTAGAGCTGCTGCCTCTCAGCAAGCAGGTTACCCTGGTTCAAATCCCAGTCTGGGGGCCTTTCTGGGTAGAGTTTGTATGTTCTCTCTGTGCATGCGTGGGTTTTCTCTGGGTACACTGGTTTCCTCCCACAGACCAAAAACATGAGTGAGAGAGTGAATGGTTGTTTGTCTCGTTTGCCTCTGTTGCCCTGTGATGGACTTGCGACCTGTCCAGGGTGTCCCCCACCTCTCGCACAATGATGGCTGGACATGGGCACCAGTGACCTCCGCGACCGAAAAAGGAAGAAACGGGCAAAAGATGATGGATGGATGGAACAAGTCTGTGTTGGTTTTTGACATGAACTTGGCATGTTGCATTCTGTCTGATCCAAATCATCAATAATATAAAATAATAAAAAAAGAAAAATATACAGGTCCTTCTCAAAAAATTAGCATATTGTGATAAAGGTCATTATTTTCCATAATGTAATGATAAAAATTAAACTTTCATATATTTCAGATTCATTGCACACCAACTGAAATATTTCAGGTCTTTAATTGTTTTAATACTGATGATTATGGCATACAGCTCATGAAAACCCAAAATGCCTGTCCCAAAAAATTAGCATATCATGAAAAGGTTGTCTAAACAAGCTATTAACCTAAACATCTGAACCAACGACGTAACTCTAAACACCTGCAAAAATTCCTGAGGCTTTTAAAAACTCCCAGCCTTGTTCATTACTCAAAACCTCAATCATGGGTAAGACTGCTGACCTGACTGCTGTCCAGAAGGCCATCATTGACACCCTCAAGCAAGAGGGTAAGACACAGAAAGAAATTGCTGAACGAATAGGCTGTTCCCAGAGTGCTGTATCAAGGCACCTCAGTGGGAAGTCTGTGGGAAGGGAAAAGTGTGGCAGAAAACGCTGCACAACGAGAAGAGGTGACCGGACCCTGAGGAGGATTGTGGAGAAGGGCCGATTCCAGACCTTGGGGTACCTGCGGAAGCAGTGGACTGAGTCTGGAGTAGAAACATCCAGAGCC